CAGGTGCCTTCAAGGGTGGGAGATCAGACTCTGGCCAATTCTGCATACCCTCCAATGGGTTTAGGTAGTGAGAGTAAGTATTGTTGAACTCAGTAATATGATAACTAGCTGCAATGTAATCATCTAGCACATTTGTGTTATAAAAGATGCATGAAATAGCATGGCAGCATGGCAACCCAGACAACTGCCAATACCTATAAGAACACTCTCTAGCCTGTAGGTCAACTGTGAACCTGTTGTCCCAATGATTGACTTCAAATCTGTCAGCTCCATTGCTAATAGCATGGCATACCCCTGAAAGGGTGATACTTGCATTTAGCTTTTTAAGGATGTTGGGACACACTATTACTGTCCATGTTTGTGACTTAGACCTATTCTGTTGGATCCTCACCATCACCTTCCTTCTAATTGTCTCCAGCATAGTTACAATAGGAAAGAACCTAGCTTCCACAATCCATTTGTTAAATGTTTCACACATGTTGTCAACAGAATCACAATTTGATCCTATCTTAAACCAGACCCTGCTCCAATGAGCTGGATCAGTGTTCATCAAGGCTTGTGCACCATCTGGTGTATACTTTGCTAGTCTGGCTCTTGCAAGATTGAACAATGATGGATAGGGTGCCTTTGCATAATGCTAGAATTTCTTTTGCCACTCCTTGTTCTTGAATTTCTTTCTCTAGTTGGCATATATATGCCTGGCACAGTTTCTGTGTTCAGCACTAGGAGCCCACTTCTGTACTACATTGAGGATATCCTTCTGTTAATCAGATATGATAACCCACCCCTCCCCATCTCCCACTCTAACATCTCTGAACAAAATGTCACAAAACCAGTCCCATAATTCATTGTTTTCCTTCTCTACTACTGCCCATGCTATAGGATACATCTGGCTATTGACATCCCTTCCTATTGCACACAGAAGCTCCACATTCGTTGCACCCTTAAAGAAGCAGCCATCTAGACCTAACACTTTTCTACACCCTGCCATGAATCCTTTTTTACATGCATCCAGGCAAATATACATTCTCTGGAATACTGGTGGTTCCAACTGAAGTTCTTTTTTGACAATGACTGTGCTACCAGGATTACTTCTCAACAATTCAAGCTGATATCTGTATAGAAGTTGGTACTGGCCTTTGGTTGCATCTAGTACTTTTTGCATGACAATTGCATTTGCACTTTTCAGTTTTGAGATGCTTACCATAGCAAACATCTCCTCTTGAATTGTGGTTCTCATTCTTTCCAAACTCCATGTTGGGTTGGCCATTATGAACTTCTCATACTTCTCTGCAATCCTACTAGCAGTTACTAACTTGTTGTCCCTCCTTGGGGGGCATGTGTGCAAATCATTTAGACTAGCCACCTGCCAGCTGTCTGTCCTTGAATTGGTTGACAACAAACATCTTCAGGTACATGTGGCCCAATCACATAGAGCTAACATCCTGTGTGACTCATTCCTCCTAAACCTGATCACCCTCCTCTCTAGCAAACTTTGCCTGATAATTGCTTTCTTGAACTGCTTTTTTCCAGTGAACTTCATGCCAATCACAAACCTAGGACTAGGTACATTCTTTTTGAACCTTGGGTAATAGTTGTTCTTGGTCTCTAAATGCCCCTCACTTGCTTCCTCCTCTGACTCATCCTCTGCACTGCTGTTAGCATATGGAGGGTCATTTGCATCATCATCAAGCTCAAACGTGGTTGGCCCAGAAATTGGCCTATCCAAGATGACATCATCCAGATTTGCTACTTGTCCACTATTCATGCTCTTCTTGAATTCCTTGAACTTCTTTTGAATCTATACAACTTCTTCATCTTCCTCAGATGAATTGTCATCTCCAGGCACAAACTCACTATCACTGTTGTCCTCTAAATTTTCTTTGTCATTCAAAACACTTGAAATATTTTGTTAACTAGCAACTGGCTGACTCCCTTGGTCATCAACCACCTGCTTCCCCTTGTCCATCTTGCTAGGGTTGTACCACTCCCTTACAAATTTGATCTGTTTCTCTACATCTTTCCTACTTTTATTCTTATTATGAGCAACCAAGACATCTTCACCTAGATCTGTCAGTTCCTCATATCCACCTTCAAACTCACTGTCATCATGTTCTTCTTGCTCACCTTCAATCTCATCTTCAAAGTTGCTGTCCTCATCATCCTCTTCCTCTTCATCATCAACCGCATGTCCATCAACATATATCTCTGCTACATCTCCTTCCTCAGTGTTGTTTGTCATTTCAATGCAAGCCTGATCATCAATCAAAACACGTAGGCCATTAGAAAGCTACCTTCCAGGAACAAGCCAGTGCAACAATGCTCCTTCTTCAACGGTGCAATGATCATTAAGGTGCCCCATAATCTCAGGGAGAGAGACTTTATCTCGGTCAATGTATGACACCTCCACTTCTCCTCCCAAGTAATACACATTATTTTCTCTTCTCAAGAATTCTCCACCATAATGAAACCGAATAGAAAGAGTATCCAGAGGGTCCATGTCGCATAAAATGTCCTACATTACATGCAACAGGAACCAAAAAACTCTTTTAGACTACCACTCTAAATGGACAACATGTAGCCTAGTTACAATGGAAGTACACTGTACATTGTTGATCACAAAATATCACGCAAAATCACAAAAATCTAAATATCAATTAGAGGCATTGCAAAATGAAGACCATATCATACACAATGACTTAGTGCTACGAGTTGCCGAAGCAGAATATGAACGATGACCATACACTATTTTGGTAGTGAGGTACTCGAAGAAAGGAATAAGCTACATCCAAACTGACAGGGAATTATCCAATTTTGTACAATCCAATACAAACTATTCCCAATTTACAGGCCAAGCACCACACCAACAAAACACCACAAAGCAAAGGAGCGAACGATTTCATATCAGATCTCAGGCTAACCGCACCTGTTGAGCAGCGACGCGGACTTGGCCCAGAAGAAGAGGATGGCGACGAGGAGGAGCAAGGCGTTGGACAAGAGGGGAAGCTGTAGCCCGCGCGCTCAAAGACGAACCAGACCACGCGAAAAAGGCGTTCCTCCGTCGCCACATCAGCAAGTCGGCGACTGGAGCGGGTCCCCGCGCGAGGAATGTTAGGAGCTATCGATTCACACCCGCACCCTCCGCCGTCGCCGTCGCCGTCGCCATCGGCGTCGCCGCCGTCGGGAGTTAGGGTTCGGGGTTGGGGAACGAACGGAAGAGAGTGAGAGGAGAGTGCGGGAGTAAGTGGGCCACGAGAAAATGAAAAAGGCCTAATACCGTAGTCGTCGCGGGTTGACCGGGCGAAAACCGCCGGCGCACCGGTGCGAGGGCTAATTCTATCTGGTTTACAGAGTTAATAGACCTAGACCGTGGATATCCGATTTACGAGTTAGAGGACTAAAATCAAACTGCTGTCATAGTTGAAGGGTTAAAATCAGACTTTTTTCGAGACTCAGCTCTTTCACAGGGAAGAGCACCAGAGTACCATCCCACGAACTCAGCCGGGCATTTCCTTCCATCGAAGGGTCAAAAGCAATCGTGCAATGTCGTCGCATCAAAGTCACGTCAACAACATGGTGCATATTGCCCATGCGCGAACAGGAGAAGGCATGGCCCCAATAGTACATTCCAGTACTGAACAAGTGATAGGGACATGCCATGCTAGCCCCTGTAACATTATTGCTACCATGACCTGTCAACGGACATTTGATACGAAACATCAGCGTGATCGGCTGGGGCTAGCTGAGTGACTGGGCTGGCCAACTCCTTCAAAAAAAAAACACTGTTTATTTAAACTAGACAACAGTACTTCTCTCTCACATAAATAAATCAGCAACGATACGAACCATTAAACCGAACAGACTGATGGCACTTCTAGACATGAAAGGATAAGAACGGGTGTCAAGAATAAAAAGGGGTGGACTAAAGCACCCCTCTTTTTTTTCCTCTCTTTGTAACATGGCCGCCGAATCTATGTAAGGAGAGGTCAAGGTTCCTCTCTTAAGATCTCTAGACACCCCTTAGAGTGTCCGCAGTGTGGGTGTTTTAGTCGGTTCGATCTCATAAATGTTACCGTAGCACTGAGTCCTATACACTGCGTGCTTTGATTCGATAAAGACATCGCTCCTATACAACGAACTCGGTTCTATTCACTTCTCTCTCCCCAGCGTGTCAGAAGTGAGACTGAGGATAGAGAGAGGATCAGCATGTGGTAATTAATGCTGGGGCCAGCTATAAATCGACACCCGGTTCTACACATTGGAGGTTGAATACTAGTAGCCATCACATCACCATAGGACCCACCGAACGACCCAACCCTGCGCCTATACATTGAGGACGCTCTTAGTGTCTAAATGCATAACGCTCTCTTTCACTCCTTCATTTGTAACTCTTACTATAAACATGGAGCAATTGTGCTTAGAAACATGGTGGAACACCACTAGAATTAGACGTTGAGCATGTTGCCTAAACCAATATAGATCTTGCATCTTCGGATGTAGTCATCAAAGCCATACACATGATTATATATAAATTTACTAAAGTAACGAAATGTAACTACTAAAATTGTATTGACCTTTATAGCTTCGTACTTTACTTTGTCAAATACTACTATGCACATACATATCCTCCATAGTGATTTTTAAACACACTCAGACTTATGGGCCACAGAAGCCTATAATATCATGCGGACACTAATTTGGGCCTTAAAGTTCGTTTAAAAAAATCAGGGCCTTAAAGCCTCTTCGACCAGATCTGGGCCACGGGATTCTGACTGGAGAGCGGCCGGGCGGAAGTTGCTGAGCGGGAGCGGGAGCTCTACCCAAACTGGGCCAGGAGCCAAGGCGTCGTCGCAGTTTGCCGGCTCGCCGCTGCCAGCGAAGCACTCGCCTCGCCGTCGTCCGCCGGCCACAGTTGCTGCGGTGCCGTCGGCCATATCTGACGCCTTACCGGCAGTTCTCCTCGTCCCTCACGCCTCCACTCCCGCGCCTCTCGAATCTCGATGGAGGGCCGCCTCTTCGACAAGCCCCTGAACCCGAATAAGCTCCTCAAGGAGCAGTAAGTCCAGGGTCCCTAGCCCACGAATCGAGGCTGCGGTTCCAGTCGCTCCCCTTCTCGCCGTTACGGCTCTAATTAACCCTCCCCTGCCTTGGTGATGCAGATTCGTAAGCAACCTGACGGGGTCTTCCCTGCTGGAGATCGCGGCGCTCTCCACCGTCGTGCCGGTAACCCATTCAAATCTCCTGCTAATTTTTCTGTATGCGCAAGCACGATGAGTTAGGGATTTGATTTGATTTCTCGTTTGGTGCATAGGCATTGGTAGTTCTCAGAAAGTGGAGCAGCAGAGGTCAGTTCATCTGAAATGCTGCGAATTCTTCTCTTATATTGTAGCATAAGGCGTCACTGAATCAATTCCCATGACAAATCTGCAAGTGAGATCCGCTAATATGATTGGGAAATCAGATTACTAGTAGGCTGCAACTTTTGCAGATTTAACTGTGGGTCTGTTTTATGTAAATCGTGAATTCAACAATATAGCCTGGCTTATCAGCCGCAGAAACCATCAGCGGAACAGCCCATAGTCCAAGTTATTCTACAGTGTCACTGTCAGCATAGAAAATGTATACTTTTAACTTTCTATTAACAATTCTCCGCGTCACCCTCCATTTCTAGCTTGTTGATAAATCTGATGGTTGATGCCATAGATTAGGCCATCCATTTCAAGTATACTCTGTTTTTTTAAGTATGACCTTTTAAATTTTCACATTAACAAATAATCATTCTCTTATTTTATTTTCCATGTATAGATTTGATCTGACAAAGCGCAATACTTCCCTTGTTTTGTCATGTTTTAGATAATTCTAGGAAGGATTCAGCAAAGAAAAACGATGATCAAGTTCACCCTGTTCGTAAAGATTGGATGCAGTACTTCTCTACACTAGGTGTAGATTATCTCACTGTTGTATTGCCAATTATTTTGGTTTTCACAGTAAGTAACCCTTCTCCATATTTTGAATTTTGATTGTGCTTAGTCGCTAGTGTTTTTGAATTAAAAAGGATCAAAAGGCACACAGAGAAACAAACTTTGTAGTACAGGGCATAAATTAAACACTTTTTAGTTGGAAGAAAAGGAAATTGAAGATCCTTGGGTTATTCCTTGATTTTGCAGGTCTTATCTGAATGGGCCTTTACGTGTGCTATTTCTCTTGTAATCCTGATATCCATCTACATCATGTTTAAAAGGTATTTCGTATGAGTTATTACATGAACTGTGGAAAGTCATTTTAGATTCTGCCATTGTAAAGTCCATTTTATATTTCCTTCTAGCAACACAGCCTGTGCTATTGTGGAATTGATATAATCCTGTCCTCCCAGGTCTCAGCTTCATCTTAAAGATGGGTTCAGTCAGCTGCCTTCGCTCAGGGCAGACATATCTTCTTACCGTGTCTCAGTGGTGTGTAAAATTTTATTTATTGGAAAACTTGTGTCCTTTAGTACTGGAGATGTAGTGGCACCACTGAAGTATCAAAAAGGATTACATAATCTGTAGGTTCTGGTGACATGTTTGTGCATATTAGCTGTGGACTTCAAAATATTTCCAAGACGCTATGCCAAGGCTGAAACATATGGTAGTGGCATCGTAAGTCATATATCCAGCCCTGTTTTTTTTTCCTTTCGTTTCTTCTTATCTTATTTGTATCTCCCCATTGCTTTGTCCACACCTGTACATTTTTGGGCCTAACCCTCATGATAAATAAGTGCTATTCAAGAACAAGCTGTGCGTTATCCCGCTGCCTCGCACCCCCCCCACCACCACACACACACACTGTGCATACACGCCACCTTCTACAAACTGTTCATACAGTCATAAAAATGTTTAAATTGCTAACGGTACGGCTGATTGAAGGCCTGTTGACACAGGGCATTTGCCTGGCCTCGCTGCCGTCGAACATACAGTTGTAGACCCTAGACTGCAGGCAAAACAACTCTGCTTGTGTAGTTGTACATGGTCTATGTCACGGGTATGTTAACATGCTTAGGCTTGTCCAGGCTCTGAGATTCCTTGCTCTGCCACTTTAAAGATATATGAGTATATGATTTTATTAGCTTGGTTCAGTGAACAGAACTTGGCCAGGAAACATGAACTAATAATCACCTTTAGTATCTTTTATTCCTGTGTTTTGCATACACAATTTCCTTTATTTTTTTACTAGAAATGGCAAGCAAGAAACATCTATGAAATAACTTTTTATTCTTCGCAGTTTTTATTTGAATTAGTTTTGACATTTTTGTCTAGAAATTCTTTGCTTATTGTTTTCAGTGTTGAACCTATGCTGCCATGTACAATTTGGAATGTATTACTACTAATTTTGAAAGTTCAGAAGTTGCAATTACAATCTGAAATCATCTTCCCATTTTAATGATATTAAGAATTTGACACATGGTCTAACAGATGGATCTTGGAGTAGGATCTTTTGTAGTGGCTAACGCACTGGTATCTAGACAAGCACGAAACATAGCCTCAATGTAAGTCCTTAACTATGATTTGATGTCATTTATCATAACAAAATATCTTTAGGGATACTGAATAGACACTTGGAAAAAGTGTGGAGCACTGCATGCCATATGTCCTGCTGATTCTCATTTAGTACTGACACTTGGTGCTCCATTTGTCTAGTGTAATCACTAATAACTAGAACCTTTCACATGTTTCAATGTTTGATTTGAATTCATTAATTTCACTGTGCGAATACATAGTTTCTGTACCATTGGCGCCAATCAGCATCAGTCTACCAGATTCATATGATGTATCTTACAATGTTCCTACTTGGGTTCCTTAGGAGTTTCAAGGCAGCGCTGAGTTCCATAAGTCCACTGGTATTTCTTGGCTTTGCTCGCATTATCTCCACATGGGGTGTTGATTATCAGGTGCTTTTCTTGTTTCTTTGCACCAATTACCTACATTACTATTTACTTATTTCGGTGATTTATTATAACTGACACATACACTGGTGTGCAACTTCTTTGTTTAGGCATGTCATTCATGCAATTGTTTAGTTTCATTTTCCTCAATGATCTATATTATGATATGATTTACGATGCCCCATTTCCTCTTTTGTGGACACTGAAGCCCTATGTACCACAAAGTCCACAACATATTTGCTTTTCAGTAATACTGAAAGTGGTGTGATTGGATATCAATTTTCCTGGTGTGGTAGAGAAGTTACTAATAGTAATTCCATATTTGAAGACACTACTGTTTTTTTTTTTTTTGTAGGTCCATGTAGGAGAATATGGTGTTCATTGGAACTTCTTTTTCACCCTCGCAGCTGTTTCTATCCTTACATCCATTGTCAGGATTCATCCAAAACATTGTGGATTAGTTGGTCTGCTTATCCTTGCTGGTACAGATTTCTCCAGTTTGCTTAGATGGACTTTACATTTCTAAAATATTTTTCTTAAAGATTTGTCTCTGTTTTTGGTTTCAGGATATCAGATTTGGCTATTTTCTGGATTGAATGAGTACCTCATTTCTGATAAAAGAAGTGCTGATATAATCAGCCAGAATAAGGAGGGCATTTATAGCATCCTTGGTAAAAAATACAGTTCTACGTAATTTGTCATTTATTTTCTGAAATGCTGAGAAACATACAGCCGTTCAACCTTCTTAGCATGAAGATGCAGGCATAAATGCAGGTCTTGCACATGCATCTTACTAATCTTCTTTCTATTTCTTTTACCCTATTTATGTATGCTACACATAGTTTCTTTTTATCTTACTAACCTTAAGTACACACACTAATTACCACTAGCTATCGTGCCCTTTTAGTAGCTGCATGCCATAAATTTGCATGCATTGTATTTTAAGATTTCTGTAAAAATATGCATTCCACTAATGGATACCCTCCCATGGCAGGATACTGGGGTATGTTTCTAATTGGTGTTTCTTTGGGTTTCTATCTGTTCGTTGACACTAGTTCAAAGGGCAAGAACAGGAACACTCAAGTCATGCAAATCTGGGCTCTTGCCGTATCTTTTTGGTAAGAAACAAATTTTTTTTTTTGAAACTGAAAGGCAGCTTTATATTAATTTAACTGATCGTTACAAAGGATAGCCCAGATAGATTCCGGAGCCACATTACACCAAGTTGAAACAACAACGACATGCTTGATTGCTGTTTTGAATATTTTCTGATTATTAAGATTTGTTCACACGTCATGTTTATAGGATTTTGGCAATCATCTTTGATAGCTATATTGAGAGAGTTTCTCGGCGAATGGTAAGATACTAATTTTGATTAACTTTTTACTCTAGCATGAAATCAATAATGCTGTAGAGTAAAGCCATCTTGGAGAATGTTTTTAAAAGTTGCTATAGCAATTTTATGGTTCGTGGAGCAGAATATTGTGGTCAAACATTGAATGACAGTTATTTTAGTCAGGAAACTTTAATGCTTATTAATAGATTAATAGGCTGAATACAGTGTAAAATGAGTTATAGCATTTAAATTTGCAGTAAATAAACTTTAATGCTTAACTTTTTTTCTGCTCAGTCTTTAGATTGAATTGGAAGTTAATACATATAGCTTGAAACTTGATCAAAACATTCATTTTGCAGTGCAACTTCGCTTATGTTATGCTTGTTTTTGGCCAGAATTTTCAGGTATTGTTCTTTTCTATGTTCTTTCGTGCAATTATAGTATGCATTAATTAGCACACCAGGTTGGTCTTTTAACATCTTGGTAGTGTTTGTATTTGTTAAGCAGCGGACAGATATTGGACTTTTCTTTAACAATATGCACTTTATCTGACAATGCCTACAAATTAACCCATAATGAGACCAAAGTAAGCCAAGGCGTTAGGGGCAAATTATTAGATGCAGTCTTATATGCTTTAAATATTCTGTAATCTTTCGGTCAGTATGTCTTACATGTTTCCACTTGATATAATGTGCACGGAATGGTTCAAAATTCCATTCTATTTATTGCTTTGCCTGCTAATGTTACTGTTTTATGATTTGGGAGCAACTTTGCGATATCATCAGACCGTTGAATAGTAGCATGGGGGTTTGCAAAAACACGAAATTTACTACTTGCCCAAGTAAATGAACCTGCTTTCCTAAGAGTTTACCAACAATGGGTTTGTCTGGTTTTTTTTTCTTTAGTTGTTTGGTCTAGTATTTCTGTTCATGCTTCACATTAGCTTCACTGTTCATGCTGACTGATTATCCAATGCAGGTTTTATCTATCCTCACATTAGCTGGGTTCGCTTCATATAAAAAGAACTTGGTTCTTGAAGATGCATTCAATCAAAATATGCTTGGTTCATTCCTTCTGGTAAGATCATTGCTTGCTTTCTTTATTACTAGAAAATGGAAATTGTCAAGTAATTAAACTTCACTGTGCATTTATTTGAAAGTTGTTCAATTTGCCAGGTTAATTGAACCGAAACTTAAGTGTCTTCTTCTTTCAGGCAAATATCCTTACTGGTCTGGTTAATCTCTCAGTTAACACGCTCTCTGCCTCTTCCCTCACTGCCTTCATGATTCTGTCAGTGTACACCTTTACTTTATGCATGGTTACTGGCCTTACCCATTTTTGTGGTGTTAGAATGAAATTCTGGTGAATTGTAAGCTGCCATTTGATATGATGTATGCATTCATTAACTTGTCAGCAAGCTAGTAGCTAGCTTGCTTGAAATATAATGATTTTTTTTGGGAAAGAAGCCAAATTGCTATGCTAGTTGATCCAGTCATTAACTCCGCCTCAACTCTAGATCTGACTTCTTTCAGACTTGTTCGCTTCACAATCATTTCCAAGAGAAGTGTTCAACGGGCTGTTGGCTTGAGTTATAAGTCGTACTTTCGTATTTTTTCAGCCAACGAATAGTATTTTTCTTTGACGATAAATCAGTTAACAATATGCCAAGCGAACATGGCACAAGCTTATTTGTGTCTCATCAGTGCTGGTATTAATTAATACTGCTATTTACTTTTGACCTAAAAAGACGACACATCCACCCACCGTTGATTTGTTGACGAATTGAAGATGGTCTCAGTCAGAATCTGGCTTGAAGTACCGTAGGTTCATACTGCTACAGTAGGCCCTATTTGGTTCCCTAGACTTTAGTCACCTAAAACAGGAACTCACTTGGGTGTTTGGTTTGGATGACTAAAAGATACTAAAAAAGGCCTTTTAGTCTCTTTTTAGTCAGAGTGTTCGGCTCTAAAATGACTAAAAGGTGAGGTTTAGAGGGTGTTTGGCATGACTCTTCCAGAGGAGCCAGAGCCGTTTTGGAGGAACCACAATTTATGGCTCCTCCAAAACGGCTTCGGCTCCTCTACTTTTTATTGAAAAATGGTTCTTCCATGAAAACGTTTGACAGGGCTTCTCTGGAGGAGCCAGAGTCGAAGCCGAAGAGGAGCCTTGCCGAACAGGCCCTTAGTCTCATTTAGTAACACTTGTGTGACTAGTTGGCTAATGCACTTTTAATCCTATTTAATCGTAGTGTTTGGGTGAAAAGTGACTAAATGGGACTGGCCCTGTTTGGTTAGGGGTCACTTTAGTCACTTTTAATCACTAAAATACTAAACACCCTGACTAAAAGGGGTCATTAAAGTTTAGTGGCTTTAGTCAGCAAAGGGTAACTAAAAGTGGTCCCAGATGACTTTACTCTCTTTTTCTTTCCTCTCCTTTTCACATTTAGCCTACATTTAGCATATGGATCTAAACATAAGGTCACTAAACTTTAGAGGGAGATAAACTTTAGAGTAGTGATTAAAGGAACCAAACATGCTTTAACTGACTAAACTTTAGGAGCCCCTAACCAAACACCCCCTTACCCACTTGTTACATATGAAAAGTGAGCTCAGGAAAGCAGTGTTGTACTTGAATGATACTTTTTGGCTTTCTGCGGATGACATACTTTAGCAGTATTTTTTACGAACGAACAGTATTTTTCTCTCATAATAAATCAGTATAAGCCTAATTTCAACGATACGAACAGGCCATATATTTGAGCACTATGACATTTATAACATACTCTCCCTCTGTTCCTTTTTTATCTGTCTTTATCACTTCTCGAGAAGGCAACCATACTTAATTTTGAATTTACCCATAGGAGTGTCTTTGCAAAAGCTTTTGCCTTGAAAAAAAATGTGGCTTGAGTATGTCTACGGGACGTCGCAAGGTTGTTTAGCCGAAACATCAGTGGGCGTTATTGCATTGGAATTCATTGGATTCCACTCTGGGTGTCGGCCATGTTCATTAGGCCACGTTACCCGTGTGCCAGGCTGACCGGAAGGACGGCTTTGATGGCCACTTGGCCAGGGTCGCTGTTGCATTAAGTTGCAAGAGGACTTTGTGATGAATTCCTGTGATGCGGATGACCTGACGTATCCCACTGACCCGGCCCTAGGTGAGTTGCATCGCAGCTGGAGGGGAGCGTGCGCATTCGGCCCTCTTGTCGCGTGCCGTTTCTTCGTGCCTGTTCCTTCAAAGCATGCGACATTTTAGCACTGTTTTAATCCATCCGTAGCAAGCGCAGTGCAGATTGTGCAGTACCCATCTCTGAGCCTGAGCCCTGAGACGGCGACGATTGGCACCAACTCTCTCTCTCTCTCTCTCTCTCTCTCTCTGCCGTCCTCTCGACGGAGGAGAGAATGGCACATGCCCGTTGCCACTGCTGGCACATGCATACGATACGACGTGCTACAAGCAAGGTTCATCATTTTGGTCGTGCGTCCTGACCATTAATCGGCCCTGTTCCGCTTGAACTTATCCGTTATGGAAGAATATTTTTCTTTCATAATAAATATGTTTGAGCCGGTTTATCGGCCGTCAAAACCATCATCAACAGCTATCGTCCTGTTCGCTTGGCTTATAAGCCATATTTTTTCAGCCAACGAATAGTATTTTTCTCTCACAATAAATCAGTCAACAATACTTTCAGCTATAACCTGTCAGCCAAACAAACAGGGCATATATGATGTGTTTCACCGGGAACTGCTGCACCACGCGCCCACCGGTGGCCGGTGGGGGGTCGGCGTGCGTGCCCATCCGGCCATCCCTGCCGTGCCGTCGTCGGTTGCGCTGCGCGGGCCAAGTTGACGTGCCATGCCATCCTCCTCCGGTCCGGTGCACCCACATTAATTCGCGTCGATCGCGATAGCTAGCTAGGTCACCAGTTGCCTGGACCCATCGCTGGCTGACCCGGTCAGCCTTCTCCGATCTGCAGCGCTGGTTGGTCGGTCGTATAGGAGCCTTTATGTTCATCGCTTCTTCTTCTTCTTTCCCCTCTCTGTCCATTGGAGGATTATTGCAAGGTTTGACCCATGGATTCGGGCATCACGATCGGTGCTCTCTGCCTCCGCCTCTGGCGTACTCCTACTGTATGTAGAAGTAAAGCCATGCATGCAACAAGTGTATCCCAGATAGGTCGTCAATCTTCTCATCTTGCAGTCGGTCGTCCTGCACTGTTTCTTTGAGCGCAGGCTATTTCAATCCCAACGCAGAAGTTGACCCTGCTGTGCATCGTGGTCTCGTGGACACCATGTTGACTTTTGCTCTACTGCCAATTACGGGGTACTCCATAATAACTGTAGCTAGGCATGCATCATGCATGCTCCTCCTGTTTTATGGCTGGTAGAGTGGTAGGGCATTTCCTTTCCCTAGGTCCTGGGATGTACTCTACGTACTTCACTGCAGCGTGTTGCGTGAACATCAAGTGTGCAGTAGTGTACTAGGCTTGTAGCTTTCTTGCTTCCATCTGTTGCAGCAATGTACTGGGAAGTGCCTAGCTAGCTAGGGTACCCAGTGCATGCATCAGGCATGTGTACGCATAATCAGTACGTATACGACCAGTACTCCCTGCCTAGCTAGCTACTCCGATCCCTCCACATCAGATCTCCCCTAATTGCATCTTTGAGATCGATCGAGATCTATGAGGGGGGCCATATCAAGAGGTGATCGATCAAATGGCAGTACTGAAAAGTATAGTAACAACCACGCTTGCTTGTGTGTGGTGGTGGAGTGAGAGACAAGGAGAGACCTTTCGGGATCACGCGATGGAGATGGAGCAATCGTCAATTGCCAACGAGCTACCTAGCTAGTATTTCATCGGCCAACTGATGTTACGCCTTGTGTGGCCCGAGTCACTAACAAGTCAGTCATAGTGCTATGACCTCCTTTTGTTTTTGGTACATGTACAAGATACATCAAACATGTATATAATTTGACTAATTATTGAACAAACTTAGATTGTTTGACATTTTCAAACCCTATAATGCGTACTAAAAGTGGATGCAGGGAGTATATACATATCATATAATAGTATCATTATATAATGTCGTATCTGTGATGACCCTTCCACAGCCGAGCGTCATTTTGATGCGTGCAAGCAATCTTTAATTTGAGGAAACGAACATGTGTGGCTCCATTGCTATCTATCATCAGTTGCATGCAAGCTTTGAGCAGTAATATACGACTTGCTCAACGTAATCGATCGATCGGTGTGCACGCTAACTATTTCGGGGACGAGGGCGACCGATTTGCATTTGAGCCGCGAGTAGTAGTCAACTACAAGTAATATTGGATGAAATAAAGATGACAGAAAGAGTAATGCTGCTACCGCTAGTGTATCAAACGATGACGGCCTGTTTTGCGACACTATTTCATTAGTATTTTTTAGCGAGCATAAGTATCAGCATGAGCTAAATTTCAAACAAGGCTGTTCACTAGCCAATCCGCTGTCAGTCCACATGCATTGGCTGTTTGTCTGAGCTTTGACTCCTTTTCTGACATGATCAATTCACTGTCAATCCCCACATGAAGATGCAGTCATCACTCTACTCTTTGACTTTGCTGTGCCGCTGCCGCGTGTGGAACTGTAGCGTCAAGGTCTCAAGGACTGGCTGGCCCAGCCCCCCGATTAAAAAAAAAAGAAAGCTCAGCTACACAGAGTACATTGCTAGTAGGATCTTGTTTAGATCGTAAATTTTTACAACGGACATTGTAGCATGTTTTCGTTTGTATTTGACAAACTTTGTCCGATCATGGATTAACTAGGCTCAAAAGATCCATCTCGTGATTTACAACCAAACTATGTAATTAGTTTTTTTTTACCTATATTTAATGTTCCATGCATACGTCCAAAAATTGATGTAACGGAGAGAGTGAAAAAACTTAGAATTTAGAGACCCAGTTACGAGTACTCTGTGTGCAGACAGCAGCAGACGTGCAGTGCCGTGTACACGTTGGATCGGATCCCCGGGCGTCGGGCCGTGGAGATAAATACACATAGACACGCACACGCCTCTCGAACCTTGTCTTGATTCCTTTTCATTTCTATCTATCTACACCATCGATCCATCGGGGGCGGCGCTGTTGGCCGGCGGCATTGCATCGACGAGGACGACAGAGGGCGGGGCGGCGGTTCCGATCGATCGATCCATGAGGCGGCCGCCGTGCTGCGACAAGGATGGCGTGAAGAAGGGGCCGTGGACGCCCGAGGAGGACCTCGTCCTCGTCTCCTACGTCCAGGAGCACGGCCCCGGCAACTGGCGCGCAGTCCCCGCCAACACAGGTGGGTGTGGTGTGGGTGGGTACACTGCCACACTGGCCATGTCGCTCGACGTCGTACGCTCTCATGGGAGTTCACAGCCACTGATCGATATTCTCACTCTGCTGCCTGCATCTCATGCAGGGCTGCTGCGGTGCAGCAAGAGCTGCCGCCTCCGGTGGACCAACTACCTCCGCCCGGGCATCCGCCGGGGCGGCTTCTCCGACCAGGAGGACAGGCTCATCGTCCACCTCCAGGCGCTCCTCGGCAACCGCTGGGCCGCCATCGCCTCCTACCTCCCCGACCGCACCGACAACGACGTCAAGAACTACTGGAACACGCACCTCAAGAAGAAGCTCCTCCTCCAGCAGCAGCAGCAGCAGCGCGCCTCCACCGCCGCCGCCTCGTCACCGACGCCGCCCAAGGGGCAGTGGGAGCTCAAGCTGCAGACCGACATCGACCTCGCCAGGCGCGCCCTCCGCGACGCCCTCTCCGTCGACGCCGCCGCCGGCGCCGGTCCGCCGGGGATGGCCACCGCGAGCTCGGCACCGTCGGCGCCGTCCGCCGGCGGCCCAGCAGAGGCACAGGCGTACGCGCTCACCGCGGGCAGCGTCAACAGGACGATGCTGGACGGGTGGGCGGCGGCTACAGCGCCAGGGAGGAGCTGCGTCGTCGTCGGTGGCACCGTCATCCCGGCCCCGGCGACGCCCGGCGCGGCCGACAGCGCGTCGGGGTCGTCGTCCGAGCTAACGACGGAGTGTTCTGGCTCCATCTCCAGCGCCTCCAATAAACGCGCCGCGCCGGTGGCTGCCGGCCACCAGCTGCTGCTCGTGCGCGAGGAGAATACGACATCGGCCGGGCAAGGGGAGGTGCCATTGTCGGCGATCGAGTCGTGGCTGCTGGAGGACGACGGCGGCGAGCAGAAGCTGCCGCACGAAAGCCTCCTGCTCGACGCCGTCCTGCATAATTTCGGTTTCTAAATGTCAAAATGTTTTACTAGAAATCGAGTGTGGTTAATTATGCTAGTCGTACTACTAGCTATGCTAATTAATCTAGTCCTTTTAGCTTAGTATAGGTACTAGGTAGTACCCGTCGCTGTTCTACTTGTCATCCGTACAAGAGGTACGGTACGCAGACGACGATTTGTGTCACTGCATGAAGCAATGTAAGCAAGTGGGTGATCGTAATGCTATGAAAGTGAAATGTGAAATGAAACTCAATCCGTTTGCTCATTTTTAGCGTTCACATATAGGCGGGAACTAAATGGGATTCGTGAATTCAGGATATTTCGTTGTTAAACTCGGGTCAAACAAAAAATATACAAATAATTTATGGTGCTTAGGGCACTCCTAACCAAGAACTAGATGGTTTTCATGTTCATTAATTAAGGTGTCAACTAAGGAAAAAAATATAATGTAACACTACGATTAAAGAAGAGAGGAGTAAATAGTTTCTTAGATAAGAGCAAGGTCAATAACAGAGCCAATTGTTTAGCTAAAATCAAGTTATAAGAGTCAAACTATACAATAAATGTTTTTATTTATTTATAAAAACATTTTTTGATTATTAATGTGGCACCATGTCTTCTATTCTCTTCACTACTCCTTACATATAAATTTATCTGGACCCACCACTGCAAAGGCTCCCGTGCGAGCTTGTTGCTTTTATAAGAGCAAGTACAACAACTAGCTTATAGCCAAGCTAATCAATATTTTTGCTGATATGAAAGAGAGAAGGAAATGATTCTTTTACCTCGTTATTATCCGCATCATGGAACACAGAGCCTGCTTAGGCCTTGTTTAGTTTCTCCCCGTAAAGTTTACTCCATATCACATCGAATGTTTGATACATGCATGCATGAAGTATTAAATATAGACTAAAAAATAACCAATTACACAGTTTACGACTAATTTACGAGATGAATCTTTTAAGCCTAATTAGTTCATGATTGGACAATGTGATGCTACAGTAACACATGTGCTAATGACGGATTAATTAGGCTTAATAAATTCGTGTCGCGGATTATTAACGGATTCTGTAATTTATTTTTTATTAGTATCCGAACACTCATACGATATTGGCTGCGTTAAATGTTTACATGTGACAAAAGCATGTGTGAGCGCCCTAATATTTTTAGAGAAAAACTGGATTTAAACCAAAAAAGTTTTCAAGCACGTGTTGCCTCCGAACACACCTTGCCATTGACTGCGTCGGCACAAGTGATTTAAACCAGGCTTGATTTTGGGCCAGCCTTGTCAGTGATGATAGCTTGTTGGCTCGATGGTCGTCCTTCGGTGATGGTGGTGAAATGAGTTGAGGCAATCAACGATAGGTGGGGTAGGGTGGAGCTTCTGGAGTGTTATTTGGGTGTACAATTGTGTCTTCTTGGTGTTCTCGCTAGCGTGCGTTGGCTTTGTGTGGTCGGTAGTTGTTGTTATTTGTTGCTTTCGTTATTTATAGTTGTCCATCTTTTATGGTTGTTATTGCTCTGTTGTACTGCTTAGTCTAGGCTTATTCTTGTTTTTAATATAATTGATAGTTCTTTTGTCTAATCTATTTTTAAAAAATAGCTCTCTCATGTGAGCGAGCAAAATCTTGCCAACACGGTCCTCAAGATGTTTAGGTAAGGAAAGCAAACACGCGTCCACTCTAGCCATCCTTGCTAGACAAGACATAACAGTGTACCACAAAGAAACCAAACAACCTCATAGGCTCCTTCTGCGCCGCCTATATCTTCGGGAGCAGGCAAGGTGTAGACCAACCTATCAGCCTATTCGGGAGGCCGTATCGTATCGTGGATTATTTACTGCTGGCTGGTTTGATGTGAGAGAAAAACACTGTTTCCGGCTGAAAATTTACGATCGTTTACGAGCAAGCGAGCAGGTTGTATATCCACAAGACCAATAAGGACTATTGACCAAAATCCGATCGAGCGGTGGATGGAGATTGAGCGCCTCATATATTGAGTCTTGGTTCTTCTTTTTTGCCAGTGCGTTCATCACCAGGTCCATTCAACGCGACGAGGGATTTTTTAGCCACATCTTTTTCGCCCACACCAGGGCATGGCCTAGCAACGGTCCCCAACAAACTCTTTGCCGAGGCTGGCTGAGAGAGTAAGCTGTAAGAATCTTTACAGCTAGCAACCGACTATATTATTAGCCTTGCTCTAATAGTGCTCACTATATCCCATTCCCATATGACCACTGTTATAGTGGGAGGTAGTAAGACAAGTAGGCCATGTTCGCTTGTCTTATAATCCATACTTTTCAACTTATTTTTTTTAGTCGAAACAGTATTTTTCTCTCACAACAAATCAGCTGGAACAGTGTTTCGACTTGTTTTTTCAGTGAAGCGAACGGGCGTAGGATGAAGACGGGATGGATATTCCCTAGTATTCATTGTCCTAAAAGTGTTTAAAGACTACATGCTAATCCATATAAGAAACCAGGCATTTAGGGGTGTTTGGGATCTGCTTCCACAAACTAATCCACAAACTCCACCGTGGGCATTTAAGTACCTCTTTAGGTGCTCTCACAACTCCATCATTTTTCCTCGAACAGAGGTGAATGGAACTGCTGGATATTGAATACTCAAAGAGCAAAGTTGAAAAAGCGTGGGCGGGCGATTTAATATTCATACTCTATCGAATATTGAATACTCAAACGGCGTGTTCGCTGGTTGGTTTCTGACTGATTTAGGCTGGCTGATGCTGATTTATTGTGAGAGAAAAACATTGTTGATTGATTGAATAAGCATGGCTGAAACCAACGAACAGGGTGAAAGTTGAATTTCTAGCATGTATATAGAATACATCTATTAGTATCCTACGCATCCGGCACTATTTATATCTGATTCCAAATCTCTGAGAAAGCACCCTTTCAAAAAAAAATCTCTGAGAAAACCAACTATCCGTATTCGATATGTCATTATATCCGATAGTGTTTCATACCTAGACAAGCCAGTCCCACCGTACAAGGAAGAATACTCGTAGCCCATTGGTTTGTCGTCCAGAAGCCCAGAACTGAAAATTGATTGGGCCGACTCCGCGCCCCGCCCCCCAGGTCGCGCCCGCATCCCAACGTACAGCGAGTACTGTACATACATACGGCTAGGGAAGGGAGCTAGTAATGTATTGTACGCAGTAGCTGTGCTCGGTGGCGGTGGCGCTGCCCGTGGCCCCGTACCACGTGCGTGATGTACGTAACGAGTAGGGCTCCCTTAAAGCAAGCTCTCTTGCCGTGTTCCTGAGCAGCTGATGAGAGTGTCCAATCCATATCCATGGATGCTCACCGGCTGCTCATCTACAATTCTCTACGTTCGTTTAGCTTATATGTCATATTTTTTAAACTAATAAATATTATTTTTTTCTCACAATAAATTAATTAATAGTATTTTCAATCATAATTTATCAGCCAAGCGAACAGAACTCACAGACGGTGCTTTTCTTGCCTCCACCACATCCACGTGCCGCTGTGCCGCCGCGCGAGGTGATCAGTGACAACTGATAACCAAAGCAAGTATGCGACCGGCCTACATTAAACAAGTATCTGTCCTAAATAAACTAAATTAATTTCTAAATTTGTTCTAAACCAAACTGTTTTATTTGCGTCCTGGGCAAAACCAGAGAGCGCGCCACCAGCCATCATAACGCTGTGAGTACGACCGAATTTTTTATTTTTTAGCGCTTTTTTAAAAAAAAATCACAAATATACCTTTGGAGATATGATTTCAAAATTTTGACCCTTAGTTTAACGCCATCATTGATGGCGCCGAGCTTACACGTCTCGGCGCCATAGATTTTGGTGCCTAGGTCTTGGGCTCGATATAGATGTGGCAGTGACCTGACAGACGGCTTGGCGCCGTAGATCTTGGCGCCGAGCTCGACGCCATAGATCTTGGTACCGAGCTTGACGCCGTGGTTATTTGCGTCAAGCCCTGTCTTACGTATGGATCCTCCCTTACTTTCTCTTTTCCTCTCCCTCTACCGCTCCTCGAACGCTGTGCCACACCGCCGCCGCCGCGCCCTCGCCCGCGACCGTGGCGGCCACCGCGCACGCACCCGCGCCCGCGCCGGCAACCGTGCCAGCGCCCGCCGTGCTGGCCTCGCCGCACGGAGCGTCGGACGTCCCGCGCCCCACCGCCGCCCTCGGCCCCTGCAGCGCCTGCCGCGCCATCACCGGCCCGGCTCGCCGGCCTTACCCACGCTTCGGCGTCCGCTATGACTCCGTCCTAGGTCCATCGATCCCGGCGTCCGCTGCGACTCCATCGACGTCCGTGACTTCATCGTCAGACAGGTAAAAATTATAAATATGCAATGTACGTACTTAGTTAGCTTTGATTGTAGTGTAGTAGCTTTGGCATTTATTATTTACTAGTTAATGTAATGACTCAGGTAGTTGATTTAGTTAGTGATCTAGTGAGATAGATATGTAGATAGATAGAAACATAGATACATAGGTACATAGATATAGTTATATAGCTACTTAAATAGGTAGTTATATATTTAGTTAAATAAATAGGATCTAGCTATTTAGTGACTACATATATATATATACACACACGTAGTTATTATCTTATTTACTTAGTTTGTAATTAGAAAATACTTGTTATGTGTTATCTATCGTCTAATTTGGACTAAAGGACATGTGTTTCATTACGTGTTTGAACTAGATGGATAACCTAGTGACCATATATTGAGGAGGCACCGTTGAAGGTGATCACTATGGATATATTGAGTTTGTTGACATGCAAAGCGTGCATGTGCTATTCAATGATAGGCCTTTATTTAGTGAGATGGTTGCAAGGGCTTGGGAGGAGCTGCATTGCCTTCAATGATAGGCCTTCATTTAGTAATATGGTGACATATACATGGATTGAAGTAATGATGACATACGTGCAGATTGGATCATCAGAAGAACAGAAAGATTTTTGACTGGGAGAAGCACCACCAGTATTACATTGAACAATGAGAGTTGTTGCA